AAGAAAACTCATCTGAGGCGATCCCAGACCTGAGTCCTGTGTGTCCGAACTCATTCTGTCATTCACATCAGGGCACCTACACACTGATGGTTGCAATTGCTAGGTCAGATGTATCTCCAGTCCAGTATCTTACACAAACCAATGGGTACTGTGGCCCAGCCCAACACTGCCCACTACACACTTGGTTCTAACATACACTTGGCTGGGAATAGCAGCCCAGAGAGAGTGACCCCCATAACCCCACTGGGCTGGCCCTCAGCCCTGGTTCCCATGCCTGCCAGCATGTGCAGCGGACTGGTCCAGTCTGTCCCACATGCCATTCAGCTCTTATACACATCATTTGTCAGTGAAACCTAGCTCAGTCCAATCAATTCCACCCTCCAGCACACACTCATGCCAGCAGATGCCACTGCCTATCCAGCCAGGCCTGCCCCCAGTCTTGGTTCTCATGCTCACCAATGGGAGCTGCAGCCCATCCAAGGAGTGCCCACAATTTTTCTACTTGGTCCACTCCCTATCCTGGGTCTTATACTTTCCAGGTGGTTCTGCAGTCTAGCTTGACAGCACTTTTCCCCAGTCCCAGCACTTGCCAGCTGATGCTATGGCAAAGCCCAACCAGCTTGCCCTTACTCTGGCTCATGCCTACACCTGTAGATACAGTTGGCCAGCCCAGCCTTGTTCTCCTCTTAACCAAGTTCACATGCAGGCCAACAGGTGTTGTAGCTCTGCCCAGCCTGGTCTGTCCCAGCCCCAGCTTTCACATTCAGTAGCAGGAGCAGTAGTCCAGCAGGGGAGTCCCCACAGCTCCCCCACTGGACTTGTGCCCTCTTTCCCCCAAGTTTTTCGTGTGCTGGTGGATGCTGTGGCTTAGTCTGGTGTGGCCCATCTCACCTCAGCATTTGCTGATGGGTGCTGTAGCCTGACTCAGCCTGGTCTTCCCCTAACCATGGTCCAGCTCATGCTGGCAGGTACTGCCACCCAACCCGGCCTAGCCAGCCCCCAGTCCCACCCTTAATGTGACCTGGCTGGTGCTTTGGCCTAACTCAGCCTGCCCTGCACCCTGTCCTGGTTCTCTGATCTATCAGTGGGTGTTATGAACTGGCCCAGACCTGACCCACACATGTGCTCGCAGGTACTTTAACCTGGCCTGGTCTGGGCTGCTCCTTGTGCTCACCTGCAGGGATTGCATCCTAACAATGGAGTTCCCCAGGCTCCTCTGTCTTCTTTAATGGTTGTTGTAGTTTATATTCTTACCAGTAGAGAATTAGGGTATCATTATCCCCACACCCCCATTATTTATTGTTTTCTGTATGATAGCCATTCTTACTAGGATGAGGGGAACCCTCATTATTATTTGTATTTCCAGATGGCTAGTGTTCTTGAGCATTTCTTCACATGTCTGTTGTCCCCGAAGTTATTTGTCAATATCAAGGATAAGTAAGTAGAGAGTCTGAGAAATCCTGGGTCTCTGATGACCATGGAATGGACAAGTTAGTATGATTTTTTTCTGTTCTTGCATTTCTGTCTCACTTAAGTCTTTATTTTTCAAGTGTTTGCTATTCATACCCTAATCTTAACTGATACACTATTTCGCAGCACTGGGAAATATTACTAATCTTTCTCAGTCCAAGCCTTATCAGTAAACTAGAAAAAATAACACCTAAACCACCTGGTGGAGGAAAAAAATTAGGTAACATGAAAAGAACTGACGTGTTCTCTCTTAGGCTGGGAGAGAGATTTTTGGGAAAGGGGGATTTAAGGATTGCAACTGCTCACTTGCCTGTGCTCAGTCCCCCTAATTCTATTTCATGAAGTCCCTGAATGATGTTTTGATTCAATAAGGAGTTGGTGGACTGAGATATCTTTAAGATCTCATCTAGGATTTAAATAGAACACAGGGCTCTCTGCATGCACTCTTTTGTCTATAGACAGCCCCCCCCCTTTTAAAAATATACATTTATATACATACCTACCTGGACATCACAGTGTTTCTAAGAGTGTTCTGGCCGTTAGAAATCCATACACTTCGTCTTTCCCTCTCCCTTTGCTTTCCTCTGTGGCTTTGTCTCTGCCTCTCTCTTGATGTGACTAAGGGAATGTAGGAGATAGTGAAAGAATGAGTGGAGTGTGACTTTTTGTGATGTACACAACAACGTCTAAGTGACTGATTCAGAATAGATGAAACTCACCTCGTTTTGTGTTCAGTTTCAGCAGAATCTTTTCTTTTAAAGATCCAAATATCTTAAAAATGTAATGCCTAGTTCCAATTTCTTTCTTTTGCTTGATGTTTCCTTTTTGCTTGAAGCTCCCTTTTCCTTTGGTTTTGTTTACAAATGTCCACCTTTCCTTCAGGACTCCTTATGAATGTCACCTTTTCAGTCATCTTTTCTAGACCACCTTTTTCTAGTCATCTTTTTCTAGAGTAAAGCATGCTGGAGCCAAAACAGGCATCCTGGCATGAAAGGTGAGTGGAAGCTTTTCCGATGAATACATGAAGAGAAGGCTTCTCTACTTTTGCCAGAAGATGAAGCAATGATATATCCGTGGGCATAGTTATGTGACTCCTCACATTCATAATAAGAAACAAGTTGAGGTCCCATTGGAACACCAAGTTGGTAGTCAGGAACTTCATACCACTGAGTAGGGTAACAATGCATTGAGCAAAGAAAAGGAAAGTGAGACTATAACCCCAGTTATTTTTCTTTGTTTTTTGCCATTCATCTGTTGATCAATAATTGAGTTTCTATTTTTTTGACTACTGTGAAGCATGCTGCCATGAACATTGGCGTACAGCTTCTAAAGTCTGAAATTTCACTTTTTCCATTCTATGGAGAGAGATCTTCCCTTCAATGATTCACTCCCCAAATGGCTACAGTTATGGGCCAGGCTGAAGCTAGCAGTAGGAGGTTCATCCAGGTATCTCACATGGGTGACAGGGGCCGAGACACTTGGGCCATCTTCATGTTTTTTTCAGGTATATTGGCAGGGATCTGAGGCAGAAGTGGAGCAGGGGATGGCACTGTGGCTCCATAGGTTAGATCACCTGCTGCAATTTGCATCTTATATGGGCACTAATTTCAGTTCTAGCTACTACACTTCTTATCCAACTCTTTGTGAATGTGCACAGAAAAGCAATGGAACATCTCAAGTCTTTGGGTCCCTGCACCCGTGTGGGAAACCTGGAGGAAGCTCCTGGATCCTGCCTTCAATATCTCCTTTCACTTGGCTAAAGCCTGGCCAAGCCCCAGCTGTTGCAGACGTTTGAGTAGTGAATCTACAGATGGAAGATTTCTGTCACTCTCATTCTTTCTATGACTTTGCTTTCTTAACTCTGCATTTTAGTTCTCTAACTCTGCCTTTTAGTTTTAAAAAAATCTTCAAAAAAAAAAAAAGAATTAGAGCAGCCAGGAAATGAACTGGCACTCGTATGGGATGCTGGAGTCACAAGTGATGGGTAAGCTGTTAGGCCACATGCCAGTCCTATGAAGTAAATAAATAAATTTTTTAAAAAATAAATAAAACCTTTTTAGTTCTAAGTATATCCATATTAATCTTACTATGCTTGTATATCACACGCCAACTCCTCCAACTTTTTAGGGAAAGATGTGTTTTATAGGAGCATTAGTAATCTGGTATTAATATAGGTTTTCTCATACGCTATTCCTATGCACAGAGGATGTAGCAAGCATGGTTAGGTTTTTAAGTGTGGCTTTAAGTTTTTCAGGCACTGAAATGTCTATGATAAATAGGCAAATACATTAGAAGAAGTTCCTTGGAGACCTTTTCTGATTTCTGCCTTCCATGGTTCTTCTTTGCCAAGCAAGCAGCCAGCAAGGTAATAAGCACTGCATTTGCTAGAACAGCGTGTGAAGAAAAGAATTTCAAGGTAATGGCAATCTATTCAGGGGCACAGGAGGACATACTTCTCCTTTGAGGCATGCCAGGTTTCAAAGATTCTTTGATAGAACAACTCCAATAGAGCTAGAAAAAAAGCTGATCCATCCATTGTCAGTTCCCTCAGCTCCCCAGCATAATCATAAGTACAGACAGGCTCCAGAGAGGCCAAGCTGATATGAAGTCAGAGAGAAAATGTGTCAGACCCCAGCACAGAAAAAATTTGCAATATAAAGTGCAGATAGAAATGTAAGTAGAATTCCCACGAGGCTTAGGCAATGTGCTACTGTTTATTACCTCTGTATTTGGAACAAAGTAGGTTCAGCAATAATTTTTTCCATTTAGACTTAAAAAAAAATCTATCTCTGAAGAAGTTGGTCGTGGGAATCCCTTCATTCTTTTAAGACACAACATAAGAGCTCATTGGAACTGCTCCCAATCATTGTGCTTAGGCCTCCAGAGTGGTTATTTAATTAAGAGCGGGGGGAGGAGGGAAACAAAGCAGTTCACCACCAGAAGGGCCTGTGTGTCCCAGCAATCTGGACTGTGTGCAGGTACAAAGGAGTGTCTTTACCCATCCAGGAGCAAATCAATGCCAGAGCAAGGGCCCTGCTTCCCATGGTGCAAAGCAGGGAAAGACAGAGATAAGGATGACTCATCCATCATAGCTGCTATCAAAGCTTCTTTTGTTCCTGCTTCCACATACACAGAAATAAATGCTCCAGATGCATGGAAAAAGAAATTTCTAAAATGAAAGTTGGCTATTGGTATGTTAGTTTTAGGAACAGGAAGTGCTGACCTCAAATGCTGCTTTTGATTGTATTCTAAAAGTACATCACCGTTCTTCTTCTTTCTAAGATTTATTTATTTATTTGACAGTCAAGTTACAGAGAGAGTGCACACATACAAGAGAGAAACACACACACACACACACACACACTCGCATATTTATTCTTCAGCTGGTTTACTCCCCAGATGGTGCTGACAGCCAGGGCTGGACCAGGAGGAAGCCTGGAGCTAGGAGTTAGGCACTTCATCTGGGTCTGTCATGTGGACACTTGGTCCATCTTCAGCTGTTTTTTCAGGCCATTACTAGGGAGCTGAATTAGAAGCGGAGCAATTAGGACCCCAGCCAGCACTCATACAGGATACCGGTGCTGTAAGTAGTGGCTTTATTTGTACAATACAAGTCTGGGTGCTGGCTCCAGTACCTTGCCTTTTCAAGTATTTCTTAAGTGCTTTCAGTTGCTTTACTTTAGTTAAGCCTTTAAACCCTGCAACAAAGGACCTTAAAACTCTCTGCATAACTAACACACAAGGATCCTTTGCAGCAGGACCCCAATTGACTGTGTTTTGGTGAGGATGAACTGCCGTGGTCTTCTGAGAGCACAATATGGGTACAATTTTTAGAATCAGAGCATGGGTTTGCATCGTGGCAGCACTATTGTCTACTGTGAAGCTCTGATTTTGCTGTGTATGATGTCTTTATGTCAGCTCCTCCTCTCTAAGATGGTAATAAAAAGATGCACATTGCATGTGGTCAGTCATACAGAATGCTTAGATTCAGGGTTGGAACATGCTAACTTTAAGAGTAATTGCTACCTACTACAACTATTATTTTTATTATTATGCTTTATCCTTATTCCAAGGAGGCAAACTTGACCCAGGTCTGCCTGATTCAGTTCCTGTGGTCTAAGGTAGGGTATGTCCAAGCTGAAGTGTCCTGAGAGTGTTCAAGTGAGCTTACTGACCTGAGACTTCCCAGGTACTTAGCCGAGGAAGAATTCCTTCATGCTGTCTGAAGTGACAGGATGGGCTCCAGCTGGTGGCAACAGCCTTAGAGTCAAATTCTTTCCCCCAGAACGTCTGTCCTGAGTCCATGAGGGCCTCTGTCTTGTTCAGGCATCTCCTAAGAATTTGGTTATACATACCCATCAATTTTGTCGTCAAAATGTTGTGTTACTATTCTGAAAAAGGTCTTCCAAATTGTATAATATTTATATCCTACAAAAGCAGAATCTACCTCCTTCATAAGACTTGTCATGGGGAGAGAACACTTTTCAAATATTTATTTACTCATTTGAAAGACAGTTACAATGATGGAATGGGAGAGAAGGAGGGAGATTTTCCATTCACTGGTTCATTCCCCAAATAGCCACAATGATAGGGCTGGGCCATGCCAAAGCCAGGAGCCCAGAAATTCATCTAGGTCTACCACAGGGGTATTAGGGACCCAAGCACCTGGGCCATCCTCTGCTGCTTTCCCAAGCACATTAATAGGAAGCTGGATTTGAAGCAGAGAAGCTGGATTTTGAGCCTGTGTTCAGATTAATTTTTTTTCTTTGTTGGAGAAAACCTCTGTAAATAGATTCAACTTAAGCCATATATAAGAAACTTGGGAACCTGCATGGTGACATAGCGATCTCGCCTTCCTTCTGTGGTGCTGGCATCCGATATGGGTGCTGGCTCATTTCCTGGTTACTCTATTTCAAATCTGCCTGCTAATGGCCTAGAAAAGTAGCAGAAGATGGTCTAAGTTCTTGGCCATTCCATCCACATGGGAGATCTGGAAGAAGCTTCTGGCTCTTGTCTTCAGAGAAGCCCAGGTGGCCATTTGGGGTGTGAACCAGAGGATGGATGATCTCTCTCTCTCTCTTGTTTCTTTCCCCCTTTCCCCATGATTCTGATTTTTAAATAAAATAAATGCATTTTTAATGAAGAAAATAAAATATTATCATTTTTGCTGAGGCATACCTCTCCATTTTGGGAAGATAAGCTGGACTATAGAAAATGATCAAGTTTGCTTCCTCCAATTACATATTTGGAAAAGAGGGGGTTTATTAAGCTTTCTTGCCAGATAATTTTAATATGCTCCTCTAAGTTGGCTGGCCACCATTGTAATGGATAAGGAGACCTGACTGCCTGTTAATGTAGCATGTTTTATCTCCAGAACTCATTATGGTTGTCATGGTGCCTCATCCAGCTCTGCACCTTCACTCCAGAAGTGTCACCTGCTGACAGTGAAGATGGTGTCTGTGCCCAGGATTTCCCTAAGGGAAGGAACATCCCCACCCTGGTACACTTCTGGTTTCTGTACATTTCTAGTCCAAGAAGGTTTAGCCCTCAACCTTAATTTGCCCTGCATCTGAAGGTTCTGCCCAATGTCAAAGCTCCTCTGAGGATGAAACTTTCCTGCATTCTCAGATTCATTTCTCCTCCACCTGGTCCTGTTCTTCCCACTTTCTCAAAAGTGTTGTTCTCATGTGCATTCCCACTCAGGTCTCTGCTTCAGGGCAAGTGCTCCATCATAGGCCCTGGTTCCTGCTTCTTCCCTTTCCCATTGTCAACAGAAGCTTCCCAGCCCTACTCACAAGGCAGCCCAGGGAAGAAACAGTTACAATTTTCAGAAATAAGGCAGGGGCCAGCATTGTGGTGCAATGGCTTCAGCTCTACCAGTGACACTGGCATTCTTTATCAGAGTGCTGATTCGAGTTCCAGCTGTTTTGCTGTTGATCCAGCTCCCTGCTCATGCTCCTAGGAAAGCAGAGGCAGATGGTCTCAAGTGCTTGGAACCCTATCATTCACAGGGTTGGAGTTCTAGGCCCCTGGCTTCAGCATGACATAGCCCTGGCCATTGTGGCTATTTGGGCAGGGTAAACCAGTTTGTAGATGTCTGTATAATTCTACTTTCCAAATAAATACAATAAACTTTAAAAATATAAGATAAATTTGTGAGACACAAGTTATAGTCATATGAAGACAACTTTGACAGTTTCTAGGTAAACAATAATAGACTAAAGAAATAGAAAGGATACGTTAGAGAGTATAAGCCAACGAAAGAGCTTATAGAAATACATGTAACAATAGATAACATAGATGAGGTTAAAAACAGGCTACAAGCTGATATATATTTTTTAAAGATTTATTTTTTTTATTTTTATTGGAAAGACGGATATACAGAGAGCAGAGACAGAGAGGAAGATCTTCCGTCCGATGATTCACTCCCCAAGTGAGTGCAACAGCCGATGCTATGCCTGTCCGAAGCCAGGAGCCTCTTCCGGGTCTCCCACACGGGTGCAGGGTCCCAAAGCTTTGGGCCGTCCTCTGCTGCCTTCCCGGCCACAGGCAGGGAGCTAGATGGGAAGCAGGGCCGCCGGGATTAGAACCGGCGCCCATATGGGATCCCAGGGGGTGCAAGGCGAGGACCTTAACCACTGCACCATCGTGCTGGGCCCACAAGCTGATATTTTTTAAAAGCAAAAAGGAAATGAGATTAAGAATGGTGATGAAAAGCTGAAATAGTATATAAAATGCTGGAAAATGCATGTGGAAGGATGAAAAAAATTGTGATTTTTTAAAAAGTAAAAGCAATTGTTCAAAAGATTAAACACAGAATTACTACATGATCCAGCAATTCCACTTTCAGAATGATCCCCCAAATAATTGAAAACGGGCTTAGACTGTTACACATCCATGTTCATAGAAGCATTATTCCCAGTGGCCAAAATGTGGGAGCAAAGCAAATGAGAATGAACAAAGTGCATAGTTATACAATGAAATATATTATTCAGCATTAAAAGTAAATTCCAACACATACTACAGTATGGATGAATTTTGGAGACAGTAGGTGAAATAAACCAGACACGGAGAGATAAATGTTGTATAATTCCATTTACATGAGACACCAGAGCAGTCAAATCCATAGAGACAGAAAATAGAACAATTATGAATGGCTTGGGGAAGGAAAAATGGAGAACTCAGTCTCTTGGGTTTCAAGTTTCAGTTTGGAGCAATGTGAAAGTCTAGAAATGATGGAGATGAGGGCTGTGCAGTCTGGGAATGCACTTAGTCCTAAAGGATTGTGCACTTAAGATGATCAAGACATTGGCATAGGCGAAAAGTTCTTGGATAAGACCCCAGCAGCACAAGACACAAAAGCAGAAATAGACAAGTGGGATTACATCAAGCTAAGATGCTTCTGTACTGCAAAGGAAATACTCAAGGAAGAGGCAATGGACAGAATGGAAGAAAATATTTACAAACTATACATCTGATAAAGGATTAATATCCAGAATATAGAAGGAACTCAAGAAACCCAACAACAACCAAACAAGCAACCCAGTTAAGAAATGGGCTGGGTAGGGATATGAATGGGCATTTTTCAAAGGATGAAATACAGGTGGCTAACGGACACAGTAAAAAATGCTCAGAATCACTACGCACCAAAAATCACAAATAGAATAACTATCATCCAAAACTTAAATTTCAAAGAAAAATTGTTGGTGAAGCTATGTGGGAAAATGTATTGTTCACTGTTGTTAGGAATGTAAAGTTGTATGACAACTATATAAGACAGTATGGAGATTCCTCAGATATCTGAAAATAGGTCTACCACATGACCCAGCCATCCCACCACTGGGATTTTACCCAAATGAAATGAAACTTTCATATGGTAGAGTTATCTTTATCCACATGTTTATAACAGCTCAATTCACAACAGCTAAGGAATGGGATCCACCCATATGCCCATCAACTGATGATTTGATAAAGACATGAATGGATAAAAACATTATACACAGATACACACACACAATGGAATAATACTCAGCTATTAAAAAATGAAATCCTATCTTTGGCAACAAAATGGACCCAACTGAAGATTGTTATGTTTAGTGAAATAAATCAACTTCTAAAAGGCAACTATCATGTGTTTTCCCTGATTTGTGATAGCTATTATACAGGATGCAAAAAAATATAATATGTATAAGTGAAATTGACATTTTGAAATTTGATTGTTGCTTATAGACCTTGAGTGTGCTCTTGAGCTACTTATTACTTTTCTACTTATTACTTATTACTTATTCAGTTTTCAACTTTTTGTTTTCTGGAGGATTATGCTTCTGATTCGAAGAAAACAACGCATGCCATTATAAAAATTAAGAGAAAAAAGAAAGAGGGAGGGTGGGAAAGAGGGAAGGTATATGCAAAGTAATATAATGCTTCTTTTAAAATATATATATATTTTTTATTTGAAAGGCAGATTTACAGAGAGAGAATTAGAGAAAGAGAGAATTAGAGAGAACTTCTGTTTGCTGGTTCATTCCCTAAATGGCATCAACAGCCAGAGCTGAACTGATCTGAAGCCAGTCAGTAGCACCT